CAACAAATAAATTATGTAGTTTTCACATTTATTTTTATGAATTTACATAAATATAATAATTTTATGAATTTAATATATCTCAACTTCATCACTAGTCAAAGCAATAACTTGCCAACTTATATTTTTCGCAATTACAAAACGCCATGACTCTCTTAGGTAATATAATTGTGTTTACATATTTTTTGGCAATTTTCTGTCCTTAACTGGGTGCATGGGTAAACATTTTTATTTGTTTGGGTCGTCAGACCAAACAAATAATGGTAGCGAAATTTCAGACCCTGATGTTCTTATTTGCAAATGCCAAAAGTAGTCCAAACTCCTCGAAGCGGTTACTTCCCTTCATATATACATTAACGCCGAAAAATTAAGGAGAGATCACTACGTAAAGATTGTCAAATGACAGGCGCATTAATTTTCGTAACGAAAAAATAGTTCCCGATTGGTCGAAGATTTCTAATATTGTGTTATTCTTATAGATATACATGCTTATATTCAGCTCCATGATTATTTACTTCAGTGTAAAACGACAGGTTTACCGTGAACAAAATATATCAAAATTAATAACGGTTACAAACTCTAATTTAGAATAATATGGTATTCTTCAGGCTGTCAGACCTGTCAATTATGAATACATTATAGCACTCATTTAAATATTCGATCCCACTTCGGTTTTGTCCGTTTATTTTACGTGAATTAATATAGAGCATATGACTAACATTTGGAAAACTCCCACTAGCTTAATATAGGTTCTCGTAACATCCGCAATAGCACAGTCGGTTAAGTGCATGATTACCTAATGTTTAAGAGTTCCGAGGTTCGAACCCTTCTTTTGACATTCTTTTTAGGCTTATTCTTTCTACTTTAATGAAAATTGTCAAGCGTTTGCAAAATTGCCTACACGGATATGAAACAACTAAGAAACATTGACTTGTCACGTTTTATATTGTATTTTATGGCACTGAAATGACATTTATTTATTTTAATCCGAAAGAATTTTGAATATTAATTCTTAAACAATCTTATATACAAAAGTATAGTATTTACCAAAAAAAAAAAAAAAATGCTAAAAAATAGTTATGAATGAGAAAAAAGTGGACATACGCTGTCTCGATCTTACAACACGTATAGTGCATATAGATATTATATACCCGTAGTTTACCCTATTGTGCTATAACGGTCAGTGTAACTAATTCAATTTAATCATATCTTAATGCGTCCATCTCACGGAATTTACCGAACATTTATCGAATATTAATATATTCTGTGCATTGACCGTATAATCAGTATGGAATTGACAGGTTAATAAAATCAAACAATACAAACAAATTGGTTTATAATCTCACAACCTTCACATTTCTGACATTCTGAGACCCAAACAAATTCAGCGCCTTCTGTGCTTTGATTTTAAATATTGTTACTGACAAGAATCTGAGCCGGGGGCATTTGTGTTTAACAAACGTGTTCTTGTTTTAATTGTGAGTTTTACTACATGAACACAAAATACATTTTAAAATAGAGAAAACGGGATCTCTAAAGAACGCCCAAAACGACAAAATTAAAATGATGCTGGTTTGGTTTGATTGAGCCTTATCTTGGACAGTACTAAAAACCTTTTGTAACTATGATATCTTCTCGTCCTGATTAAGAATCCTCTGTAACAATAGGTGAAATCAAAGATTATCCATGCGATATCCATGAACGAATCTCCCAACAAAATCCATCAGCAAAGAGCCCAGCAGGACACCTGGAAAACAGGTGAGGGCACAAGAACAAAGCTCGGAATTGGCGTTATTATACATAATTCAACAGGAAATCATAAAAAAATACATTGAAGAATGTAGTTGATAATTCTGCTGTATTCAGTTTTAGAACAATTATAAATTGTTATTTCTTCTTATTTTCCTTTTTTCTCGGAAAAATGTTTCCTATTCTGGTATATCTAACAAACAGACAGTAGCATTGTTTTGATGGACCACTTAAAAGTAGAGGTATACATTAGCACTTTGATAATAACTACCTGATGGAAGAAGAAAAAGACTGATTTTTCAGAAGCACTGAAAACAACAAAATTACATGTAAATTGTAGACTAGGTTTGGTTCCGTTTATGAGGAAATTAACGATGAGCAAAATCCCTCACTCACCATACACCGGCTTAAACGGTTGTCAATCTTCAATACTAAATGTACTGAAATCAATCATCCCGAATAAAAGCACTGAAGTGAAGTACGGTGAGCTTTTTTACAGCTGCCATTCGACACTTGACACCTGCTGTTTTGAACATAAAAATCAGAAAAGGGGTTACCGGTATCCCTCGAAAGCACTGAAAAATATCCCTGACTGTTTGGGGTCTGCCTTGGCTCCTTGCCACTGGTTCTTGTTGCTGGGTCATGTGAGGGTTGCGTTCATTGAACGCCGCCTTGCCTTGATGATATTTTTATCATATATATTATATTCCCCTTGTGCCGGATTAAGCGGTATTCAATCTTCAAAAATAAATGTGCTGAATTCAATGATCCTGAAGGACAAGAAAAATATAAGAACTCTTTAGTGAAATACATAAAAAGTATGTATCATGGAATGCCTCGATCATAATTGCCATCGAATCTCTTATTCCGTGTCATGCGTATTCGAGGAGGGAACGTTGGCCCATTTTGCGAAAATATTTACCCCTTTTAAAAAAACCGATGTCCTTTTATAAAGAAATAAATAATTTCATCATTTTGATTTTCGAATAACTGAACTAGTAGTAAGATGTGTTCATACGGCGGATATCATGGAACCTTCAATGTGACACAGAATTGTCATTCCATGAAAAGCGGTGTATGGTCCCTAAGTAAAAGAATGCTTATTACGTAAACTTGATGCTACAATTTGAACACAGGTTCTTAAAAATATATGACACGCGTTTACCAAACTTATAACTGTTTCAAAGGATCTTTACGTGTTGTTTAAAAATATCTTTATTAGGGGACACTATTTATTTCATAATAATAATAATAATAATAATAATAATAATAATAATTGTTTACAAATATTCTTTCAAACAAGTCGTCTAGTGGTCAGAAATGGTCTTAAATGAGAAAACATCAACGGTGGCAATTTCAGTGTCAATATTTATTAAGTTCTCTTCGATTTATTCTTTTTGTTTTTGACTTTTATTTACTGGTTTTGTTATAGACCAGGTAGGTCAGTAAAGTTTATGAATGAATTAGGTTCGCTAAATGTGTTGTTTATTTGTTAAGAAGCAACATTCCTATTTGACAACCAACAAAATTATGAAATTTTCTTGTTCTTGTTAAATCCATTGTTAAAAATGGAATTGGCATATCTCCCTTTATTGCTTTTCTTCTGTGGATTAATTGGTATGGTCTCATGTGCAGTGTCCTTGTCGTGTAGAAAATAAGCCACATATAGAGATTTTGAACTGGAACTTAAATGATATTCAAAGATCTCTTTATGCACCCCCCCCCCTATCGAAGACGGTCGAGGGGGGTATATATTGTTTTGCTAATGTATGTCGGTCTGTCCGTCGGTGTAAACATAGTTTCCGCTGATTATCTTAAACACTATTTATCACAAAGTCTTCATATTTCACATAGTGATTGTTCAAAACTAGCAGATGACCCCTATTTATTTTGGAGTCCCTAGGTCAAAGGTCAAGGTCACAGGGGCCTTAAATGTCAGAATGGTTTCAGCTGATCATCTTGAAAACTATTTACAATAAAGTCTTCATATTTCACGTAGTGATTGGACATAATTAGTAAATACACCCTATTGATTTTTGGGGGATTAGGTCAAAGGTCAAGGTCACAGGGGTCTTAAATGTCAGGATGGCTTCTGCTGATTATCTTGGAAACAATTCGAGATCATCACAAAGTCTTCATATTTCAGATTTTGATTGTTCAAAATTAGTAGATGACCCCATATTAATTTTGTTGTCCCTAGGTCAAAGGTCAAGGTCACAGGGGCCTCTATTTCACATATTGATTGGTTATAGCTAGGTCATTATTTTTTCTTTTTTTAATAGCTGAAATCGTCCATATACCCATTTATGGCAAGTTTCCATAACAAATTTACCAATTATGCGAGTCAATGGCTAGAAAGGGGGACATATGTGTCGTTCGACATTTCTTCTTTTTTTTTTTCATTTTGACACAGTACGTAGATGTAGTTTGACATACCCCCACATACCCCCTGACCTACATCTTTCACAGGAAACACGTGATCCGAAACTCCCGCATTTGATCCGGAAATTATCCGATTCTAAAATAGAAATATTAAAGACAGCAAAAAAACTGTTAAAAGATGATATATTTTGTGGCTATATTCCAAAGGTATTTTCAATCGCCATTTATTACGTTATTGATCCGGAACTCGATCCCATACGAACTTTACTTTTGTACTTACATGATCATTTCTTTGTGTTACTTATTTTACCTTTTGTAACCATAATATAACAACTTTTAGAGTTTCACTTGACAGGGATTTATTTTATTGACATTAATTGTCTCGTTTTAAAGGCACGTGGTGGGTTTGGTGGTGCACCATTAACCGTTTTTAAATCCCCAGCAGTTCTTATATACTGCTGGCCGTTCGAAGGCGACGCCCCTGTGTGTTCCCCAGCTTTATGTCTTGTTTGTTCTGATGACAGTTTTCTGTCCCTTGTTGTTATCTCGTCTGCATGGGGTATTTCCCATTGCCCCTAGCTAGTTTTGTTTTATTGTTTTAATTTTGCTTGTAACATTTTACAGATTCAAGACGTTGAAGATTTCTTCTTGGTATTTTTTATTTGTCTCTACAGTAGAGTTTTCTCTGATGGTCAGATAAATATTCCTTCTTATTTTACTGTGAATATATTTAAGAAAATGCATAACTTTAAAGATTTCTTGAAACCGAAAGTAGGACTTTCCATGTGTTTTTCTTGCTAAAAATAGAATGGTTCTCAGCTTACCTTAAATTATTTGGTTAAATTCGGGTACCAGTTTCACGGGAAATTCCGCCTAATTTCCAGTTAGTTATTTATAGCATATGACGTATTGGAAAGTGAAGCTTTCCAAAAGCCTTTTAGAGCCCAAATAATATTGCTAGAAAAAGAAATAGTCAAAAGCGTGTGCATTGACAACATCGCAAATGTCAGGAAATCCAGGAACTGGTACCGGTATGTTTTATACTACACTAATTCTTTCGCTTTTCCATAAAATATTATCGAATATTATCGAGGAAGATGTCGGCCATTTTTGTGTAAAAATATTTTCCGCATTTTAAATCTGATTCACCTAAAACTGACATTTTCTTCTAGTGTAAAAATTTCATTGTGTCAGTTTTTGCTGTTGTAACGATTTTACAGAAGAATTTACCTATTTAAATGTTAGATCTGTTCTAATTATTTTTGTTGTTTTGTTGTTGTTGTTTTTTTATGTCTAATTCACAGGCAAAAGTATCGGACCTGGGAAGAAAAAATATGACCAGATTGATAAAAAAAAACCTGTGTTCATCTTAAAAGTGTCAAAAAAAAAAAAAAAAAATGTATATAATGACCCCCTTTAAAAATATACTATAAGTTAAGAGAAGGCCGGAAACTCCAGATTCGAGCCTACGAGCAAGGAATTCATTTCCCGGGCCGTTGTGAAAACAATTGGCCAGACAATTAAAAAAAACTTTTATCACTATTTCACGTTTATATAAAGCTTCAAAATGAGACCAACCCCAAGTCTCTAGCCCTTCCCGTTCATGAAATATCTATCAGGAAACGAGCGACTTCGTGCTAAAAATCTTTGGTAGACATAATTGCGGCACAACAATTCGGTACGTAAACATAGACTAATACATGTATGTCAGCTGACTACGGGTCAAAATTACTTGAATTTACTAAATAATATTACTAAATACATTAAGTTGGACCACTCACAACCGTCAGAAGCATCTAATACACACGAGATTCGAGTTTCAAACATTTACACGGTCTTTCAATCGCTTTCTACGCCATTATGCATCTTGTGTGAAACGTTGTGGTTTTCGTTGCTATTGGCCAATCAGAAGACTCGTTACAAAATATCGAACAGCTGATTGACAATGGCGTAGAAAGTAATCTAAAGACCGTGGAAAGGTTTGAAATTCGAATTTTGCCTGTATCAGATGCTACTGACGGTTGTGAGTGGTCCAACTTCATGTATTTAGTAACTTAACTTATAGTATATTTTTAAAGGGGGTCATTATATACATTTTTTTTTGTTTTTTTTTGACACTTTTAAGATGAACACAGGTTTTTTTTATCAATCTGGTCATATTTTTTCTGCCCAGGTTCGATACTTTTGCCTGTGGTCTAATTATGAAGAAGTGGCTGTTTTAATGAAGAAGACCCTGCGCGTCAAAATCGACAGAAAGTTATAAAGACTTGTTTAATGAATAATGAGGATAAATGAATGATAAAATATGTTTCAAATAGGGGGCTGGAAAACTAGAATGAGATATGTTCAATGCACACTGAACTGCTCTAGGGTAGGTGGTTCCAGTGGTATGACGTCCTAGGAAAGAAAGAGAATTAATAATGGTCTGAAGTTGCTGTGAATAACATATAAGGGATGTCTATGGCGTTATAATCAGGCAAAGGGTTTGGGGATAGAAACCAGACCATGGTGAATCTTATAGAAATTAAATGATGATTTATAAATAAGATATATTTCTTATTCATTTTGACTGATTGTTAGGGCAGAAAGTACCTTGGACTGAAAATTTAGCGACGCTTGACTTCTTTCCTTCAAAAGAAACATGGAGAAGTTTTAGAGAGTTAGGGAATCTTACTTGTTTAACATCCAAATTTTGATTTCTGAGTCATGAACTAAGGCTCCCACGTTTACAATTTTTTGTAAACGTTTACATGATCGTTAAGAACCGAAACGATACTGTTGAAACAGTGGTACTTCTATGTACTATACTACTGCATGTATTAGAGTTGCCAAATGATGACTTATTTGCTATTTTTAATACATGTACAAATAAATAATGTTCAGGGCTCATCACGAATGAGTCGGCACACATTTTCTGCATTGTATCCCCATTCTGCTCTTTTGAAAGGAAAATCAACTTTACAAAAAACATATTATGTCAGGAGCGATTATTTCACGGTGATGCTGTGTTGAGGGTTGTAAACACCCATTTTCCATTTTTTACTTTGGAATAAACCAATAAGAATTGATAAAATCCATGATTACAGGCAAAGATTAAGATATTTTTGTAAGACAATAATTATGGTCATTTTGATTAAACTGTAAAAATTATCATAAACCATTATGAATGAAAATCGATACAAATCCGTTTTAAATTATAACCATGGGGGCCTTAGTCATGACTAAATGCAATTATTAAACATTAAAAGTTCTTTAATGCATAGTGACAATCAAAATTTTAGATTTATTTAATGATGAATATTTTGATAGCCATTTTGTATGGTTACAACAAATTACTAGAATTGTAGGATAACAAGTGTTAAACAACAACAACATACTGTCAAACTTATAAAGGGATAATGAAAATGAAACATGTTAATATATGTTTGATGTAACATAAGACACCATAAACACTTTCGATATGAACTACGTCAATAACCGAGGTATATCGATTGAACACTTACGAGTTGTTTCACTTGTCTTAGAGTAAAATCGATATTTCTTATGCTAAAACAATACAAATTAAGCCATTTTTAGCTCGACTATTCGATAAGAATAAGTAGAGCTATTGCAGTCACCCGAGGGTCGGCGTCGGCGTAACCACTTATGTTAAAGTTTTTGTAATAGTTCAAATATTTTCAAAGTCCATAGACATATGGCTTTGAAACTTTGCACACTTGTTCACCATCATGACCCCAACCTGTAGACAGGAGGAGGTAACTCTATCAAGCATTTTGACAGAATTATGCCCCTTTTTCGACTTAGAATTTACGTTAAAGTTTTTGTAATAGTTCAAATATTTTCAAAGTCCATTGACATATGGCTTTGAAACTTTACACACTTGTTCACCATCATGACCCCAACCTGGAAACAGGAGGAGGTAACTCTATCAAGCATTTTGACAGAATTATGCCCCTTTTTAGCTCGACTATTCGATAAGAATAAGTAGAGCTATTGCAGTCACCCGAGCGTCTGCGTCGGCGTAACCACTTATGTTAAAGTTTTTGTAATAGTTCAAATATTTTCAAAGTCCATTGACATATGGCTTTGAAACTTTGCACACTTGTTCACCATCATGACCCCAACCTGTAGACAGGAGGAGGTAACTCTATCAAGCATTTTGACAGAATTATGCCCCTTTTTCGACTTAGAACTTACGTTAAAGTTTTTGTAATACCTCAAATATTTTCAAAGTCCATTGACATATGGCTTTGAAACTTTGCACACTTGTTCACCATCATGACCCCAACCTGTAGACAGGAGGAGGTAACTCTATCACGCATTTTGACAGAATTATGCCCCTTTTTCAACTTAGAATTTATGTTAAAGTTTTTGTAATACCTTAAATATTTTCCAAGTCCATTGACATATGGCTTTGAAACTTTGCACACTTGTTCACCATCATGACCCCAACTTGTAGACAGGAGGAGGTAACTCTATCAAGCAATTTGACAGAATTATGCCCCTTTTTCGACTTAGAATTTATGTTAAAGTTTTTGTAATACCTCAAATATTTTCAAAGTTCATTGACATATGGCTTTGATACTTTGCACACTTGTTCACCATCATTACCCCAACCTGTAAACAGGAGGAGGTAATGGTATCAAGCATTTTTTTTTACTATCAAGCACTAAGAATAGTCGAGCGTTGCTGTCCTACCGACAGCTCTTGTTCGACTTAGAATTTACGTTAAAGTTTTTGTAATAGTTCAAATATTTTCAAAGTCCATTGACATATGGCTTTGAAACTTTGCACACTTGTTCACCATCATGACCCCAACCTGTAAACAGGAGGAGGTAACTCTATCAAGCATTTTTTTTTAATTATGCCCCTTTTTCGACTTAGAATTTACGTTAAAGTTTTTGTAATAGTTCAAATATTTTCAAAGTCCATTGACATATGGCTTTGAAACTTTGCACACTTGTTCACCATCATGACCCCAACCTGTAAACAGGAGGAGGTAACTCTATCAAGCATTTTTTTTTACTATCAAGCACTAAGAATAGTCGAGCGTTGCTGTCCTACCGACAGCTCTTGTTAAACCACTAGTTTGTTTTGATTTAATGTCTGATTGTAAAATTTATTACACCAACGGAAAGCTTGGGATCTTAGCTTTGTCACAGTATAACATCTTTTGACACCAAAGCTTTTAATTCAACTGTTAAACCTACCATATGTCACACCATTTTACATACAATTTATACAGTGAGGTATGCAATTGGTTATCTTTACTCGAAAAACTACTGATAAAAATAGCCTGTCCATGTCGTCTGCTAGTTCGGAAAGTGTTTATCGGTGTATTAGCTTGCTTTAATTACCATAGGCAGAAAATATCATTCGAGGTCCTTCCATGATAATTGATAATGATTTGCCCCTTAACTATTCTCCCCACTTTTAAACAATCATTTTAAAACATCCTTTGGTTTTCAAAATAAAGAAATGATAAGATTAAATGGGTTTTTGATATATTTCTGAAATAAACAGCTTTAAAAATTGATGAATTAATAGACTAAACAAGGTGCTATTTTTAAAGATGAAGTGTAGCTATGGCCACACATCAGCCTGCCATTAACAATCAACAAATTGTTAATTATTGTGACAAGCAGGCAAATCACTTAATAAGTAGGTACACAGTCAGTTATGGGTAATTTAAATTTTATGAAAAGATATGAGTTTGTTACACTTGACAAGGAAACTGACCACTGATGGAAATTAAATTCAAATAATGAATTTTTATGGTAAATATTTAGATTTATGAATATAACTTCACTCTCATAAAACAATTGTCCTGCTTACATTTCTCTGTAAGAGACATTTATTAGGAAAAACACATCTCAAAGACATTTCATAATGTACATGAAACTTAAAAAAAGTTTTAATAGCTACAAATGTATTTTTTGGTTTGTGAAACTTTGTATGATATTAAGTGTGATCGATATCTAGGGCCAAAATTTGTACTATTCCTCCTTAATTCTTTTAAGTAGCTGTATGAATTCCATGTAAATTGAAAGGTTCTTTTGTATGTGAACTTAATTAAGGGTGGTGTTGACAGTAGAGTGTACTGCACATTTCAATTGGAAAAAGAAAACAGACTGATAAGATTAAAATGATTATCCATTTATCTTCAGATGAGGTGCGTCTATCTTCTAAAGACCTTGAAACATTACTACAGGCAGGAAATCTGAGCTTTGAAGGGCTGGATTTACTACAGCTGGATCCAAATGTTGCCCAGCAGATACTGCAATTTAAACAACAACAAACAGGTGATTATATGACAGATAATATGTTTCAACATTTTAGTTTTTTTTTTTTAAGTTAATACGTAAATACTTTGAAAAGTAGTAAAAATATAATGACAGTTTTTATTGAGTTGAAGGTTAAGGGTTAATTCATCTTTCTCTTAATAGCTGATCCAAACTTGAATGCAACAGCAGCCCAGAGTTTGAACGCAAGACCGACAAAACCACGACCAGGACACAGTATGTCGAGACAGCCATCTCGTGGTACCCAAGTACAGGGACCGTATGTTGAAATAGTTGAGCAACCTCGAGCAAGAGGTCTCAGATTTAGGTACGAGTGTGAGGGAAGATCGGCTGGTAGTATACCTGGTGAATCTAGTACTCCAGAAAGAAAAACATTCCCTGCCATCAAAGTAAGTAAAATAGAATACAATTTTTTTAGCCTTGCTGTTTTAGCCTTAACAATAAAAGTGATATTAGAGTGTAATTCTACTTGGATAGCAATGTTTTTTGCATAAAAGTATTCTTGTATGCAAAATTGTAAGCATGTTGTATACAGACAGTTCTTGTTAAATGTAAATGCTAATGGCATAAAACTTGTACCTACTCAATGGTTTATTTTTCACGAAGTTTTGTGGCAGAAATAGGGCCCAATTCACAAAGCCAAAAAGTATTCTTTTTTCACAGTTGTTCAATGAAAATTCATAGTTATTGACAAAATTGCCAATGCCTTGAAACGTGAGAAACGGAGACATTAAGTATGAGACTTTATGTCATATTGTTTATCATTCATCATCTGAATAAGATAGAACAAAACATTTTTTCATATTTGATTTGAAAACATCATTAGATTTAAGTTAAAGACAATGCCATTAAGATAGGATTACAATTAACATGTGAATTAAGATAAGTAAAAAGAGTTCACAATGTATATTATGCTATGAGTAACCAAGAAATTGCTTTGTTGTCATTATTTTATTGATAAAAAAAATTGTTTTACAATTTACATAAACAGTACACTTTTTTAAATAAACAAATACTAAATCAAAAATTAAATTGATTACCACAGTGACAGCAGCATTATCTATTGCAGCACAGAGGCATTTATACAGGTTTCAAAAAAAAATTATGTCAAGTACCGGGTATACACAGAGATTTTACAGACTTTCCTTAAAATTCTATACCCTACATGGCAAAATTTATGAATTCGCAAAAAAGTCATGTAGGCCCATTTTCGCAAGATTTTAGTGATGAGGAAATTTCCCAGTTTTCAATATTTTTGTTCATTAGCAATTTTGCATGATATTAAGCAAGAGAAACACATCAAAATCCACCTTGATCTGTAGTGATAATATTATATGATTATATATTACAGATACACAACTACAGTGGTCCAGCTGTAATAGTTGTGTCATGTGTAACCAAGGATGAGCCATACAAACCCCACCCACATAATCTGGTTGGCAAGGACTGTAAGAAGGGTGTTTGTACGCTACGTATCCGAGATACTAACACTGTTAGTTTCCCTCATCTTGGAATTCAGTGTGCCAAGAAAAAAGATGTTGATGGAAACCTTCAAATGAGAAAAGACATCAATGTTGATCCATTTCAGAGTAAGCTTATCTATATCCAACTCTGTATTTCTTTCTTTTGAAGAAAATGATTTGAAATACAGTGAAAACATTAATATAGTGTTTTAAATGAAAACTAAAAGATATAAGGTTGATCATATTTTGATGAATATGGTATATTTTAGTCATTTGTTGGTTTATAATCTATATGTGTGTAATCAATAAAATACAGGATGAATTCATTGCCACTTTTTTTGTGGGGTTTCCAAAATATCTATTTTTGGAATTCAGTCATCAAAATAATGTAGATGTTATTTATGTGACATTTCTTCTATTTATAGCTGGATTTAAACATAAAGGTCAAAACATTGATCTAAATGTTGTCAGACTGTGCTTTCAAGTATTTCTACCAGACGAGCATGGAAAGATTACCCGTATAGTGCCACCTGTAGTCTCACAGGCAATACATGATAAAAGTATGTACATGAAATTTATAGTTACTGTTTTATACTCTTAGCACTATTGGTTAAAATGTCAGGTATATATCTCCAACTCCTGACTGTCACTCTATTTTAGTATAGTAAACTTGAACAGTCTGATTAATTTTATGTTTAGATGAATATTATTTTACACAAAAATGTAGTGAAAAGATTAAGATTGTCTGTTAAAATATTTTTATTTAGATTTAACAATGATAATGATATATTTGTACTTTTAAGTTTTATCTCTTAAGCCTCAATATGAGATATACTTAACAGTGTGCTTGTTTAGATATCAATACTAAAAGAATGCAAGTAAAACTCCAAACGTTTTGTACAGAAACCACTTGCATGCCAGAACATGTTAGTTATAAAAGGAAAAAAATAGCTTTGTATCATGTTTAATGCTTTGTTATTTTAGAGGCCCTGAATGATCTGGTCATTTGTCGTATTGATAGAACATCTGGTAAACCTAAAGGTGGTGATGAGATTTTCCTGCTGTGTGAAAAAATTAATAGAGGTAACAATAGAATTATGATGTTGTCTTACTTATAATTTTTTCATAATTGGATGTTTTCTGGACCAAACAAAATAAGGTGTTGAGAAAGAAATGGGAATGAGTTTTAGCATAGCTTGATATTATTAAGTGATTTAACATAGTTTATGAGTGGGATGTGTAATTAAATTTTACAATTAAAAAAATGAAAACTCTTTAATAATACAAAAGTTTATTACATGCTTTTCGGTGGTTTATAGAAATATATCAGTGACATAAAACTGGTAATTTCACTGTTTGAAACAGTGAAATTACCACTTTGATAATTTCACTGTTTTGAATTTAAGCCCCTTATGTTGTTTCAGTGAAATACCAGCGTGCACAGTACTGGGTACCAACTTAATGACGTGACGTCGTAAATGACGTCACGTTGTATTATTATTTGGCGCGCTTTTCATTCAGTATTAGGTTAAATGTCTTTTAAAACGTTCCTTTGCATGTAATAAAAAGAAAATTTGTTTAGTTTAGTGTAAGATTGAAATATATTTCACCTTGTGAACACCAAAAGTTCATTTTTCACTCGTGGCTGCGCCACTCGTGAAATATACCTTTTGGTACTCACTCGGTGAAATATATTCCGATCTTACACTGAACTAAACAAATATCCTCTATATATGATGTTTGTTAAGGTATTATACTAATGTCTTGTCATGATATGTGTTTTCTGAGCAGTAATGTACGTTAACACTGCTGAATTTTTAAGAATGAACTAGTCTTGCATGAATTTTTGGAACTGTCTACTGTTTCATGAGGGGATTTCACAATCAAAATAATATAACTGTGCCATAAACATAAACCTATCATTGACATGCATACAGACTATTCTACTATAATCACAGGAAACATTTAAAGGGATAAGTAAAGATTATGTAAAGAATATAGTGATTTATGTTTATCGCTTTTGTTGTACTATATTTCAGATGATATCCGTGTACGCTTTTTTGAGGAAAGAGATGGTCGACTTTTTTGGGAAGCTTTTGGAGACTTTGGTCAGAATGATGTCCATAGACAAGTGAGTCATTGTTCAAATTATAGTATTGTAAGTCTTTATAAAAATATTGTGAACACATCGTCACTGACAATACCATACAAAATTTTATATTTAGTCCTTTTGAACCAGAAACAATTGTCACTATAGCTGTTAAAGGTATGAGACCTTTAAGTCAATAGTACATAATTGCAGCACTTCTTGTATGTTCCAGTTTGCAATTGTATTCAAGACACCACCCTATAATGACCAATACCTGCAACAACCTGTTGAAGTCCAGATGCAGATACAAAGGTCTTCTGATCTTGAGGGCTCAGACCCAATTGCCTTTACTTACCAGCCAGAAGATCCAGGTATAATCTGCAGTTTCTCTTTTTCTTAGAAGAATTTGATAAAATAATTTTAGCGCTGAGTCCATCTTTTTCTTGAGTACTGCCAAACTGTTTTCATACTTAAGCATATGTACCTTGGCCATCAAGGTCAAATTACTGAAAATTTTGTAAATTGTCATTACTCTGTTATAAGGCTCCCACGATAACACGTTTTAACGGATTCGTTTCGATTTTCATTCATAAACGTTTACAATATTATTTATTATAAATAAAATTAAAATTTCCAATGTGACCTTGAAATTTGAATGATCTTGTCAAGGTCAAATAGGAAATTTTAATTTTATTTGTTACAAAAAAAATCAAGTTTTGTATGAATACTCTTTACTGTTATTCTTCCTCTGATGTGGTTAACTTACACTTAAGAAATAAAATAAGTTGAGCGTGGCCCCACTGGCGAGTGGCTCTTGTTAATCTTTAAATTTTGGTCACGATAGCAATTTACATAATCAGCGTTATACCAGTATGTATATGTGTGTGTGTGAAGTAGATATTGTACTATGTATTTACTTTTACAGATCCAGATAGGATATTAGAGAAACGTAAAAGAAAAGCTGCAAGCCTAAATTTCTTACAAAACCCAGGTTAGTTTGTTTCTTGTGAGTTTGTTTATAGCCATTAAACACTCTTTGCAGCTATGAAAATTAGCACTAGTCTGTAGAGCTGTCATCGATTGTAACAATATCGATGTAGCATTGATATTTTTCTGTCAATCAATAATCTATACACATTTCCAGAATATGCCCATGTCTAAATTATCTGTTATTTCACAGCAATGATGACAAAAAAAAATGGTCTGGATAAAAATCATGCAATGGGCTTTTATAAACAAGACACTGAACAGAACATGTTTTTAACTGAATCATATAATGGGTTATTAAAATGAATGAAAGACTAATTATTTCAGGTAGTTGTTGATATATTGGTCTATTGTTGATATTAAATTTTGTCATCTGATATCGATATATCATTGATATCCTTTCGACGGCCATCCGCTATACCCGTAGGATGGCCAAAGCGAAAGAAAACGTATAGAATTTTTACATTTCTGAAAGCCAGTCTTATTTTACGACCTGACGTCCATAGGGTAGTAAAACGTATCAAAAATATACCTTTCTAGAAACCATAGCGTAAATCAGCATAAAACTTGAATTTTGTGTCATGCAAACCCGTAAAAACCTCGTTTTCATACATTCTGGTTTTTTAATGTGTTTATGAAAAATCAAAATATTACGCTATGGCTGTTCAACTGCATACGATAAACAACAAAGCCATACCGTATAACACTGTTAATATTATGTTCAACTGCAATAAACAGACTCACAATCCTTGTTTTTTGAAACAAGTTCTGAACGTTTTAAAACGGTAAATTTTACATTATTTACCGATATAGCCCATTAGAATACCCTATTGATTAAAAACGTCCACAACGTTTACGTCCACAACGTTTTAAAATGTAATTATTGAAAATCAATTTTTCTCAGGAAGGGTGATTGATATTATGCTTTTCAACGTGAATTTTGAAAGTTCAACTCATTTTTGTTTCAAAAAAGAGTACTGCTTACAGAAACTCCGTTTGATGTATCAATAAATGCTTTTTAAAATACTATACCATTTTGAAGATTTTCATCAATTAATTTTGATATCGATTTGATTACCACATTAATTAAAAAGTGTACTGTATATCTAAACATTTACTATATCTGTCAATTAAGGGCACTATACAATTAACATATTTGGTGTTTTTATTTGAACAACATTTAACAGAATGAAATAAATGAAAAGTAAACTTTAAGAATTTAGTCATTTAAAACTAAATTTTGGTGGCCTTCCTACGACAAAACAGTAGTGGCTGTCAGGAAGCCAAAATTTTATACCGGTTTATTACTTTATAGCCTTCTTATGACTATAGCGCACGGCTTTTGAGAAGTCGATTTTTTGGTACGTTTTACTACGCTATGGCCGTCGAAAGGATATGCCTTGCTATGATTCAATGACAGCTCTTCTAGTCTGACAGCGAAAAACCTAGTTTTTTTTTCTCATGGGCTGCCACAAATTGCCCAATATTCTTGTAGAATCCAGACCATTAAAAAATCAATGGAATTTTTATTTTCACTTTGTAAACAAACTTCTAGGCTACATACATGTATATCATTCAGCAATTATATTACTTGCATTATTAATTTCTCTTGCGCTTTGAATCAACAATTTGTGTGCAGGAATCACATGTGGTTCTATTTCCTTCATTGTACATTCTGTACTATAAAAAATTCAACCAACAAAATAGCAGAGAAAACAATCAGGTTTATTGCTGGTCCAAAAGAGAACATATTATTGTGGAGAAGCTGTCTTTCTTACAACCAATGCTATTTTAACATTATTTTGACAAAGGTGTAACGGGTAAATTTATTGATTCAGGTGAAGGTAACGCACAAATCACTCAAGAGACTTTGAAACAGAGACTTAAGTTGAAAGCTACCAGAACTGGTAGGGGTGTGAAAAATGAGACTATTTCTGTGAAAGAAGAAGGTAAGGGTTTTAACCTTAATTGAAAGTTTTAAGATATCAATGTTTCATATTAATTTGAATCTACCTTTGTATGATGTTAATATTTGGATTTATAAGGTTTTAAATATGTCAGTTACATTTTTCAGTGAGAAGTCCAGAAGTACCACAGTACTCATTTTCAAATATTGGAGCACAGAATGTCCAGCCAAATGTTTCTATGCCTAATCTGATGTCACCCCAGCAACCCCAGATATCTCAAATTGATGTTGCCACAGCGACTATTGCTTCACAGTCAAGTATGTCTGGTGGAAAGATACAGTACACACCAGCTCAGCCAGCCACCACTCAGATTCCTTCAGTCTCTCTTACCCCTCAGCTTTTACAGTTGTTGGCATCGTCTGGATTGCTTACCACCCAGCAACCTAACCAGTTAAATCCCTTGTTACAACAACAACAGCAGCAGCAGCAACAACAACAACAACAGCATGTGGCACAGACATTCCAAGATACAGGTATGCAGCAGATGCAGACAGATCAACAAGCCTCTAATCCACAACTTGAACTATTTAAGCAATATCTTATGCAGACTGTCGCTAACCAGCAGGGTCAAGCGGCAGCATCAGGTGTAAGTAACCATGTTATCACAAATAATGACCCAAACATGCAGCCTCAAAATCAAGAAATGACTTCCTTAAACTCTATTGACCAAAATATCTTACAATCTATATTGCAAGGAGACTCACCAATGGTATCTTTTGAAAGCTTTGAAGGACTTAGTGGTAATATTGCCGATCTTAATTATGATCCTAATATTGCTGGCTTTGAAACAGTTGGTGGAGACTCTAATTCTCAAAGTTCACAGCAACAATTTGATGAAACATCTGCTGCAGTTCAAAACCTGAATGGATGAGAATTTGTGTGACATCTTCAAAACTTATCCAGATCAATCATAAATTGAAATGATGAAAACAAGACAATGTGATTTAAGTATGCTTTTGTTTTGATCATGTTTTGGATATGCAATGAAAGGTTTTTATATTGAGTTGTTAATAGAGATGGAAATTATGCATTGAATATCCTAATCAATTGTCAGAAAAGTCAGATGACTCTTGTGAAGGATAAACTATACCTAGCTTTGAATTTGAAATGTTGATGGTCTTGTTGATTGTTTTATTATTTTGAGAAAAGAATGAAGATTTTATCATGTGTGTTTACTAAACTAAATGTTGATATATCTGTTTTGCTTTAGTAATTGAAGTCGGCTACATGGTGTGTTTCATGCATTGTGTATCATTTGTTTGACATTTTTGACACACCTGTACATTTGATCAGAATTATCTTTTTTTTTTCATGATTTACATTTTAACATTTTCATCCCTAACATCTATATATTAAGGGGAATATTGTTTTTGTCCTGTCTATTTCTGTCATAGACTATTTTAACCTTGGTGACCATATCATCTAAAGATCTTTATTCTACATACTTCGGGGCACAACATTATAATAAAAAATAAAACCCTAATTAAACTTGATGGCTAATCTGTTAACCTGCTGTATTTCTGAAATCGACTTGTCCAGCCTTTAAATATTGGAACCATCCATTATTAAGTTTAGGGAAATTAAGATGAAAAGTTAGCCAACAGTATTGAACCTGGTGAATATTTTATATTGTAAATGTTGGAATATTTTGTCTTTTATGGGCATTATAATCATCCCATTTCATTATCATTTTAACAAAGTATTCAAGAGTGTAATGCTTCTGTTTTTCATATCTTACTTATAAGGATTGGGAATACTTTCCATCATTTTAAAAAATTCTATAGTCAAAAATTGATTTCATACTAAAACTGACAATGACTTTAAAGCTTTACAACTGTTTCAGGTTTCCTTATTGTTTGTCTATAATGTTACATAGCTTTAGCAATAATTTTTACTGACACTTGTGCTATCATTCATTTACTATTTTACATTAGTGTTTAATCTTCTTTTCATTGAAAAATTACTATTATTAGTGATACATGTATATGGTTACATAGATATACACAGTTCAAATGTGCTTGTTGCAAATGTACTGGTGTTTTCTTTCCTTTCAATACATTACATTTGTATCATTTTAATGAATTATTTTGTTTTCATAACTGTAGATGAAGAATAAAGTGTATATATCCACACCCTTGGAGATTGTTTTTTAAAATCCACACATATTATCAGGATTATAATTGTTTTTTACTGTCGAAGATATGAAACTGTTACTGTCTAAGACCATTCTGCCATCTTAGCTCCATAGGGAGAGTATCAGTATGTTATTTAGGGGTCTGTGGTTTAATCCTCTGGCAAGGTGAAATTTCTCCATGACAACTGATTTTGGATTTTAAATTCCATGATCATTAATTTTGTCTTGTACCTCTTCTTTATATGTGGGGTTAAGTGTTGAACAGAGAAATTTGTAATTTCTGGGTGGATAATCTAAGAAATTGGATCAAATTGGATCAAATTCGACAGTCTGTCGAGATAAATGTGTTAAAATCAGCACAATAGCCATAGTAACAAACCAACTGTCTAAGACCCATTACTAGCATTTATTAAGGCTGAATTTCATCCATATGAACTTTGAATTTTTTTATGCAAGATCAATCCCTAAAACAGCTGAAGGTATTCGCTTTGAACTTCACACATCTGGAATAAGATAGTTGGTCACTCTCAAAAACTGATAACTTTGACCACTTCTTGAGTTGTTGAGTTTTTTTGGATACAAGATCAGTATCTTAAACAGGTTCTGAAATATGTGTCACTGTCAAAAACTCATAACTGTAGTATGGAATTTAAATTAATTATATACTCCTCAGTAAATTTAGAAAATTCATGATTATAGACTGACAATCTACATAACAACTGAAGATTTTCACTACATATCAGGGATTACAAATCTAAGTCACTTTCTCAAATCAATTAGTCGAAGCTTTAACTGAATAATAGCCCTTAATGTGAACTTTCCGAGTGAATCATGAGCCGATTTTCTTTTTATATATTTAAATGACCATATTTATTTTCAAAAAAATATATGAGCTCTAATTTTAGATATGTTTTTATCTCTATTTTATCAGATCAATTTCATTTTTGATATAATCATACAAAACATGTTGCTTAAGGCAATAGATGCACCCTAAAACAGCTCTTCAGTCAATATAGGCTACTACAATTCAAACCATGTAAAGAAAAGTAAAAATCTATTTTAATATCAATGACCTTTACTTTGGCAACTGAAGTTCAAGAATAATCCAAAGTATCTACATACCAAAGATGTAAGACATTGATCACTAAAGTGTATGAGCAAGTGTAAAAAAATATATTTTTGCACCGGTGACCCCATCCCCCACTTCAAGGTTGAGGACCAACCGAGGTATGTTCCTTTAAATATAAAGGGCATATCTATGAGTGAGACTGTAAACTCCATCCGATTTTAGAGGGCAATCTAAAGATTTTACATACATGTACGTAATCCAAATATGACGGATATATTGGTCAATAAAAGGTTGAAACTATAGAAAAGAAACACAGAATTACTGAAGGATGAAGTGCTCCATCTATTTAAAACAATAAATTTACTTAAACCTAATTGACTACATTTAAAGACTTAAATTTAATGTAGTAATCCTGCAAGTCCAACGGCGCTGGCATCGAGGTTAGGACTGGGCGAAAGTGGTCAGTGAGTCGTGCGGTGGAGCTTGCAGAGAGCAGTCTCAAGCACCAAGACATTGTGGGTATGACAAACATAGGAAAAGAAGGACTAGGCACCAGGAAGCACCAAAGATGGGAGACTTCAACACAGCAGGAAAGAAGATCCCTAGTACAGACCGAGATCAGGAAAGAAGCAGAGCAGGAAAGAATGTCAAGGGCAGCCCAGCTAGGACCACAGGGAAACTGGACAAGATGGCAGGTTCCAGAAAGGAAATTATCCTGGCAAGAGATCTGGCAGTACGAACCACTCAGACTGAGTTTCCTGCTTCGTTCTATCTACGACATGCTCCCATCTCCTACCAACCTGTACCAGTGGAAGCTGATTGACGACCCGGCATGTCCATTGCGTGGTTCACCAGGATCACTCAAACATGTACTGTCATCATGCACCACAGCCCTATCTCAGGGGCGCTACAGATGGCGTCATGACCAGGTCCTGTCTGAGGTAGCCCTCGTCCTTGAGACCGAAAGGAAGAAAGAGAGACCGAGGCCAAACCAGAACCGCTACATCGGGTTCCTGAAGGAGGGAGAACAAGTATCCAAGTCAGCCCCAGCATCGACAGGAATCCTGAATGAATCCAGGTCATGGGAAATGAAGGCTGACCTAAAGGAACCACTACAGTTCCCCCAGGAGATCGCCCAGACTACCCTCCAGCCAGACATTGTGATATGGTCCAGGAATCCTAAACGAGTGGTGCTGGTTGAGCTGACAGTCCCATGGGAGGAACGCATTGAAGAATCCCACGAGCTCAAGAGGTCCAAGTACGAAGACTTGGCCCAATCCTGCAAGTACAACGGCTGGAACACTCAGGTCTTCCCGATTGTGGTCGGATGTCGTGGCTTCCCATCACAATCAGTGTGGAGGATGCTCGGAGCATTGGGCATCAAAGGAGCGGCACGAAAGCGTACAGTCCATGCTCTGGGGAGAACAGCCGAAAGAGCGTCCAGTTGGCTATGGATGCTCCGTAGCAAACATGAATGGCAGCCAAGGTAGACGGGGTAGGGCCTGATCAACCCTACCTGCTCCGCCATCCCGAGGGTGTCCCGAGTGTAAATGGAGCGAAACACCTGCAGACGGATGGTAACTCGGCTGATGACGTCTACCTTCAGCAGGACATCTGTTATTCAACTCTTAGTAAGTAATCATAAAGACTTTTTAAAAAGGGCAAGATAAAAAAACGATAACGCTATTTGAAATAACTTATTCGTCTGAAGATTAGCTGGAAAGCACCTGCTACTAGAATTATCTCCCTTGAGTAAACGTTTCCATGGACATTCAATAAATTTTTCTATATTATTTTCTACTTTTTATCCGTCTTACATGCAATTTTAAATGTCATGATAGAAAAAAGTATTTAGAGGTCATACTTTTCATTACAAAGAGAGTAATTAGGTTTGAGTTTTTCTGCTAGCTAAAACGAAAATAATGACCACTGTTGCAGCCCCGGATAACGAACAGGTACAGTATTCGTCTACCATTGATTCGGATGTTCAGCATTCAGAATATAATTGTCTTAAACACACTACAGGTGTTCAGTGCATGGCCATGACTTACACTATACCACCGTCCCCCTTCTGCAACCATCAAACATCATAAATATTGACTAAATTCAATTTTATAGTATACTCGGCATCACTAATTCCGCATCATGATCATCACTTATTTCACGGTAATGGCATATTTTCATGTGACCAGTTCTAAAATTGGTCAGAATTGACATATTGTATTCATACACCTATACAACAAAGTCTTTGTGCAAAATATTTTAAATCTCTAGATTTTTACTTAAAACAGAACAACATTTTACAAATTTCGACAAAAAGCAACAATACACCCATAAACACTTTTCATATAAACTACGTAAATAACCGAGGTATATCGAGTGAAAACGTATGAGTTGTTTCCCTTATCTTCGAGTAAGATTGGTATCTCTTAAGCTAAAACAATACAAATTAAGCCATTTTTAAACCGCTAGTTTGCAGTGATTAGTAAGATTGGTATCTCTTAAGCTAAAACAATACAAATTAAGCCATTTTTAAACCGCTAGTTTGCAGTGATTAAATGTCCGATTTTAAAAATTATTACATCAATGGAAAGCTTAGAATCTTAGCTTTGTCAATATATATAATTTTACATATCTTTTGACACGAAAGTATTTAAATTAACTGTTAAACCTACCATAAGTCAGCCCATTTTACATACGATTTATACGTAACCGGTTATCTTTACTAGAAAACCTACGGGCAGCACGAAATACCCAAATGTACCCAAATATACCCAAATATTGTCCAATTATACTAAAAATAAATGTTTTATACTAAAAGAGTGCTGTTTTAATCATGAATACAATATACACTTTCACTAAGATATAATCAAACATACCCAAATATACATTTTCCTATCATTGTGTTTTGAACCAAGATACATGTACTCCATTAAAGCTTTTTTTTTAATGACATGGACTTCTTCCTCTATTATGATATGAAATTTCAACAAAATTACACCTTAAAAATGTAAGTGTAGACAACAAATATATCTTGAATTAAAATTGCATTCATAAAGAAGCGATATTGTAGATAAGCAAATGTCACAACTTTATTTTCTTACAACATCTTAACTGCCCATTTCAACGGAATGAATGAAAGTTATAGCAGGCTTAGTCATGTCATTTTATAAATATTTATTTATTTCTCATTATAATCTATATTTTATACAAACAAAAATAAATATTGCTATATTTGGGTATATTTGGGCAATATTTGGGTATATTTGGGTGTATTTGGGTATATTTGGGTATTTCGTGCCGCCGAAACCTACTGATAAGAATAGCCTATCGTCTGCTAGTTGGGGAAAGTGTTTATCGGTGTATTGTCCATTAAATGTGTGCGTATGTCTGAAACAATCATCATTTTCTATATGTTTTTGTTTGTTGGAAAAATAAATTTTGAGTTACAAATTAAGGATAGTTTTAATATTTAAAATCAAGCAAAATAACATGATGATGTAGAAATTTTAACTGAAACATGAAAAAACTGAAATGTAACACCATTACTGTGATTTAAATGATGACATACTGTTTTCAAATTGGCCGACATATGGTCTTCATTTGGTCCATTAAAATTGACTTTGACCGAGTATGTTGTTGTTTCCTTGGGTCATACAGCAGAAAATACCTATATGTTATAGCTTATGATAATTTTTGTACCATTTATTTGTTGTTCTCTTTCTGGTTTTAAAGCATTAAGTACCGTGAACTAAGAGGAGCACAGTATACTCCCCATGCGTACCGCCTCATTGCCCATTCCCGTATAATCAGAAAATGTGTTTCTTTACACACTTAAAGCCACCAATTGACTGTTTCCAACATTAAAGTAAAAGTGGAATTGCTGCTTTTTTGAATTTGGTATTTTGGATAAAAATTGCTAGAAATATTTTCATTTCAGATAAATTTCTGTCATTGATAAAAAAATCCAAAGCTGCACGTTTGTGTTGAAAATACTTCTTTATTTTATTCCATATTTACCAGTTAAACTGATAATTTCATCTTCTGACAATGTAGGTCGTCTGCGGAAACTGTAGGGACGTCATATTCTGTTGAAAAAAAATTCTACTAAAGCCAGAAAGGGCCATCAATTTACATACCACGGTACCATAGTGCTCTCCGTTAAAGCTCCCATTTTTAACATGGCTGAATGACCATAGATGTTTCTAATTTAAATCATTGAGTTATTCTATGAATGACATGTGTATTTAAATGTCAAGATGCGACAGTTAAACACAATTTAACAAAATAGTAAATACAGGTTCATTTTATTTGTACAATTTGCTGGAAATAATAAGAACCATAGGGGACCATCCTATGACTAAAATATTGACTAAAACATTGAAAGGTATTTTACTCCACTTTCATTTTGTATAAAGAAAATTCACTAGCATCTCAATTCTCAGCGCAGATAACAACAAACTGAACTCTCAATTAAGTACAAAGTATTAAGTGCCAACATCTGTTTAACTTATTCTTAAATTTCCAATACAAAATTGTATCTCGTTCTTTAAAATAAATACTGTTTTTGTTTTTGTTTTTCAGTTGTTAGCAAGACAATTAATTGTAATTTTTATTGGTACACAGATGAAACTTCATAAAAATATAGGTCCAATTCAAATTAGGCCTTAGACAGCAGGAGCTTAATTTTCAAATAAATAAGTTGGTATATAAATCACCTTCAATGATTAAGTTAGCCCACCTGAACTGGCTTAAAATCATTTTGAATGTTTATTGTCTCTACGTCATCAGTCCTCTGTTGTCCCTTGTATGTCCACTAGTGTTGAGTATCAGACTTAAAAATCACTATCGATAATCGGACCGCCACAATCGATTGTCTGCCGATAGTATAATCAAGTTTCGCACTTATTATTGAGCTTTTTTCTTTTAAGATACCAATCCTTGTATGTATTTTTTTATACAGTTATTTTAAGTGACCACATTTTGAGAATAAATAAACTCTTTTCTCCAAGATTAAAGTATGATTTGCTCTTTGAATTCAAAACAAACAACACAAATACCTAAAACTACTTTTTGACAGTCAATTTTTGTATAATACAACTTGATGGCAGTCAATATTAGTACTAGTCAACAGATCAAAATATTAATGAGTAGTATTGTAGATCACTATTATTTAACTAAAGTAGATAATCATAATTATATAAGTTTATAATTTAATTAAATGTTATTACACACTATAATTTTCTAAAGTAGTATTAACCATGTTAAATAGGATTTGAATACAAAAAAAGACTTTAGGATTGTCTAGAATTAAAGAGATTCGGTCGGGAAACTTCTATTTGACCGCATGTAAAAAGTTACGCCCTATGGCAATTCAGCAGTGGTAGAACATTAAAATAATCGATTTTTGAAAAGGACTATCGATTCTCACCGATTTTGGGGTGGTCCGATTAGTTATCGATTTTCAGAGACAATTGGGACAACACTAATGTCCACAATTTATTTGTTAACACTAAAGTGGTCACAATTGTCACCATAAAATGGTTAGGATGTTGGTCCCAGTAATTGCTGACACATCTTCGACCATGGGTCATCTTGGATAAAAAATTAGGTCACAGGAGCCAGAAATAAAGAAAAATCTTATTTACACCCTAGTGGCTTCTGTTTGGGTCCAATTATCCTGGAAATTTGTCAGAATGTTGTTTAGATGATTTCTAGGTTAAGTTCCAATATTTGTCACCGGGGCCCAGAAACTAGATCACACAGCCTAAATATGGAAAAACCTTGTAAACACTTATAAAATAGAGGTAACATTTTCAGCCTAACTATCCAGGAAATTGGTTAGAAAGGTTGTATAGATGATTTCGTGCTCAAGTTTGAACATCGGTCATCTGTACAGCCCAAATATGGAAAAACCTTGTTAACACTCTGGAGTCCAGTTATTCTTGAAATTGGTCGAAAGTTGTTTTGATGATTTCTAGCTCAAGTTCGAACATGTCTAGCAATAGATTTTAGGTGAGCAATATGGCTATCATGGCTTTCGTGTTATGATATTGATAATTATAATATTTAATATGTGATAATTGTTTTTATTTTATTTAGCCTCTCATACCGAGCACTGGTCGCTTTATTTGGAAAGAGGATGCAAATGGGAAAGGTGTGTTAGAATGGAACTCGTAAGTACTGTTCCCATTTAAAGATATGAATTCAATAAAGATATGAATTCAATAAAACACAACCTGTACTCTATTCGATATTCATATTCTATCTGAATTTCTTTTTTGTTTGGGTTAAATCTTGCAGGGTTAAGATTTTTAGATTTACATTGTATCAAATCCACTTTACAGAAGATCATTTTATGCAATAGGATAATGTCTTGTAATTAAATCATTCTATTCATATTTTATAATAAGTTTATTTTGCTTGTCAGACTACTACTTCAAGGAGTAGATAAAAGAATTTGATTAAAATACAAAAAATGACATGTTTTTTAGTAATTTATTTTTTAATTGTTGTATTACAGGAACAACCCTAATGCTGATAGAGACAGAAGACGAAGAAAAGGTAATGATGGAAATAAAAGAAATGATAGGTAAGTGTGTAGTAAGTGAATGTGCTTCTTTCACATGCTTTTCAATCATGTTGATAGCACAGGCTTTATATGTGTGACAAAAATAACCATGATGAAAAACCCAATAAAACATGCAGTGTTTTGTGTATTGTAACTCTACAAAACACTAGTAATATGTGTTTACAATGCATATTACATGTATTACATTTGTATATATTTTAAACATAAACAGTGCTTAATAATGTTTTGCTTTCTGATTATATTTGTCACATGCTGGAAGCCTGTTATTGGAAGCTTATTTGTTAAAGGAAAATAGCATAGTTTTATCAAAGCCTGTTAATCATATTAGTTTTTCATGTTACAAGTGTTTGTAAATTTTTAATTAAATTTAGTTAGATGTAGAGAGTATGTTTTATATAGATTTACCATAACAAAGTGTGAAATATTTATATCTTATGTATTACAGAAGGAGATCTAAAAACTTTTTCCTATTTTTATCAAGAAAAGATGAAATTCTATTGGCTGTATGTTTAGTATGTTATTCAGAACTCCTGCTCTACCTTCCATTTCTACCAGGCAAGCCAGAAGTCAGTTGAAACTTTTCTCTTTTTTTCAGAGTATCATCTAGTGTTGCTAAGAACCAGCCTTCAAAGGTCAGAGGTCGTGGCAACCACCCAAAATCTCCTAGACCACCGATTAAACCCACTGATACTCACAGTACAGTCACATTAGAAGATATCAAATGTAGGGATACTGTATCATTGTACTCTTAATCTTTCTTACAAATTTCAAGATGGTTAAAGATGTTTTCTGGAGTTTTCATATAAACTTATAGGCAAAATTAAAACTGTTCAATAGAATTTCTTTAAACTTGGCATATTGTTAGAATAACAAGGGCCATAACTCTGGGTTAAAGTGTCTGACCGGAAAAAGCTGACGATATGCTCATCTCCTCTTGGCAGGGTTGTCATTAACATTTTTTGCGGAAGGTTTGTTTTGAAATTGAGGCGGTCATTTCTGTCTTTATCATGCACAACAAAGAGTGTTTTCTTAATTTTGAGGCGGCCCATAATGCATTTGAGACAGGCATTTTGGCCTCCTGCCGCCTCTTAATGACAACCCTGTCTTGGTATTGAAGGTTCCTATAGTTTTGTTGAATTCCAGCCAGTAGTTGCAGAGAACTACTCCGGAAACGATTTTTACTGCATATTCATACTACATAACTAATCAAGGGCCATAACTCTGAGTTAAAGGGTCTGACCGGAACAAGCCGACGATATGCGCATCTCCTCTTGATATTGATGATTCCCATAAAGTTTCGTTGAATTCCAGTCTGTAGTTGCAGAGAACTACTCCGGAAACGAAATTCGGACGGACGGATGGACGGACGGACGACGCCAAAACTATATCCCCCTCCCGATTCCATTGGCAGGGGATAATTACAGATATTACACCTCAACATTGTATAGGGTTAATCACATTATAAAATAAGTATTTAGTGTTAATAAATATATATTTGGTAAATATGTTTTAACAGTAACAAAACATAATAAGTAGACTTACTCTGCTGCGGCACCTTCTCCAAAGAAATACGTAAAAATTCTAACAAAATCTGATGCTGATGTTATATCTTTCACATGTGCAGGATCATCTGGGACAGTATAATCTAATTTTTCAAGAACTTCTTGGACATTTGCAAATATATCTTCACAGCCACCAAAGCCAAGTGCAATTCTTGTGTTCCTTTCTACGCCAACTTTCTTCTCGGCTCTCAGAAGACCATTCAACACCCGTCCCAATTTCTCCTGTAGCAAATCGGCAGATCGTTTTTTGTATAACACTGCACAAAACACGATCAGAATAGAACAGACAATTAATGATTTTGAGTTCAGAAAAGCCATAGTTATAGCAGAAATATAAATCTTTAACACTGTTGAATGTTTTCCAGTTTTTTCTTGTTTACGTCTTCACCCGGATGTCTGTATCAATGGACGCTTGTAAATGTTGGTGTCGTGCCTGATTAGTTGTGGATTGCATGATGAATAACAAACATTTTAAGCAAAAACAATTTTGGGGTCACCATTCTTCTTTTTGAGTTATCTGTGTGATATGAAAACTCATGAAAACATCCTTTATATTGTATATTTTAGCTTTACCTTTACAGTGTATTTAGAATTTATTTTATAATTCGTTCTTTTCATTGATTGATTAGGTTATTGAAGTGCTATGTAGTATGTACTATTAGCATTTGCTTCAGAAAATTAAAATGGTACGAAGATTTATCCTGTTAAAAAAAGTCAGAGATTCTTAAATTTTTTTATAGCATTATTGGGCTATAATTTGAAATACTACCTTTCTGCTGTTTTAGCTGTAGCAATGGACATGTTATCAGAAGTGTCAGATATATCAGAGACCTTTGAAGGCATGTATAGGTAAGTTTGTACAAGATAAACTAGTTGTTATAATTATATTTTTGTGAGTTAACATAGACTTAAATAGAAAATACATTTAAATAAATTTGTCTGAAATACATAGTTTTGAGTAGTGGACTTCTTCAAAAGTTACATGAACCATGACCTTGGGGTAGAAAAGAAAAAGCATGTCGACTCAATAACTTATTTCTGATTTGAAGAATTTTGATCTTTTTCAAATTTAGGGCCATTATGACCATCTTGTTATGACCATTTTGTTCCGCTACTAAATATTTTATCTTTAAAATAGAGAGAGCTATTGTTGGTGTCACACTTTTGGTTAAGTTTTTATGTACTGATATATTGGTTGAAGATGCCTTTGCCCCTTTACTTTCCAAAATATATTGTCCCTAAAATTGCTAATTTGGGAAGTAAAAAAGCTAGTGTAAGTTAAGATTGTTTGGAAAACTGCATGATATTAAAGAAAATTTTGAGATTGGGGAGAGGCCTCTGCTATATAAGATGAAAAATCACTTTTTTATTTTTTACAGTCATACATGGTTTAATCTTGTTTGTTTTTATTTTTACAGAAGAGAACAGTTTGATAATTTCTTGCGGTTTTTGCTCACATATTTTGGATGTTTTTTTGAGAAATTGCACCAAGAACACAAACAAAACATATCCACTTACATGTAAGTACATTTGATTTTATAATTGAAATATCTCATTCTTACAATTTCTTCTTACCTCCTGAGTGCTGCAACGGAATTATATAGGTGGGAGTTTCTTAGAAAAGATTTTCTCTCTTTTATTTTTCTCAAAAATGTAAGTGCAGGCCAATTAATAATTTAATACTTCAGACATCACCCTAGTCAAAGTTTATATACATATAACACCAGCGTGAAGTAATAAAAATAATTTAGTCTTGGTAAAATATCCAGGAACACTGATTTTGTTGCCATCTTTATGGCAGCTTAAAATTGATTTAATAACCTGCTATAGTCGACAAAGTAATCTGATGTTTTTGGTAAAAAACAACAAGCCAAGTGTTTGTTTACTTTGTGATTTATTTATGAAAGGAAGATTTACAAAAGATATCATTTAATCTGTTTACTACTTTCTTTAAAAAATTAGCTATATTCAACAACTATACTACAAAATCTAAGTTTCTTTATTTTATCTCATAAACTTCAACAACAACAAATGTCAACAAAATAACTAACAATAACAGTTTAAATACTGAACATACATATTCAAGTCAATTTATTGTGACTTTGAATTGTATATATACATATTTCTTTCTATTATTCTGTACATAAATATTTCTTGAATTAAACATCATACTTAAAATATAATATTGGCTGTATTTCTTTGATACTGAAATAATTTTAAAGATGTTACAGAGTCTTGGATACTAATAATTCTAGAGTAAAACTGATTCTGTAGTTGTTCTTATCCTCCAGTAAGTATTTTATAAAAAAAGGTAACATGATACATTTAGTTATATTATAAGTGGCTTTAAACTGCATCTTTACCTTGTTATAGTGAGTTTAAGCCTTTCTATTACCATGACATTGTTTAGTTTTATAAATGGATAGGGTATGTTCTTTCAAACAGTCACATCTAGTTTATCATTTTCTTTTAAAAAAAAAAGAAAGGTGATGATTATAATCATTCTTATGTATTAAGTTTGATTGATGTCACTCACGTTAATCAACAGTTATCAATACTGTTAATTAGAATGGATTTATTTTCATTTGCTACAAAAACCAAAGTACAGACAATAACAAAATTGAAAAGAAAAACATCAAATATTATCAAAACTATAATTTTCTGTGGAGGAACAACAACAATTTACCCATCTTTTTATTTGAACACGCTGTTTTACATGAATTTACATAATAGTACAGTGTTTTTTTTCACCAAAATATTCGGCGAAATTCGGCCCCATTCCCCCCTCAAAATAGTATGTTTCCCCCCCCCCCCCAGGCCAAAATTTCCCCATATATGGCAGCCCGAATTTGCCTGCAATGAATATCATTTTTTTTTTGCAACTAACTGCCAAAAAATGTTTTATTTTATGCCTGTAAGAGTTACTCTTAAGCAAGTTTGTTTACAAATCTTTCTCATGTAGGTAAGTGGAGCTACTCCCGGTGTCCCAGCAAGTTTAACTTGTGACGCATCAATATTTTAGATCCGTATATTAAGAAAAAGCGACGTATTTTAAACTTGTGTTGCAAGAGTTGCTCCCCTTTTCTACCGCAAAGAAAACAATAAAAAATAGGTAAACAAATAAAATTCCCCCTCCTATTGCATTTTTCCCCCTCCAAAGGGCATCGACCCCCTTCCCCCAAAAGTGGAAAAAAAAACACTGTAGTAAGTGCAAGTGTTCATACATTTACAGATATGAAATGTTTGATTGTCGGCTCATAGACTTGCACAAACTCACAAGATTGTCTAACTTTACTGTAGTATATTAGTTACAAAATAAATGCAGCTTTTTAACAATAAGAGTAACATGTGATATTTAATTTGATACAAACATGTAATCTATGTACAGTATCATATAACAGATTAACACACTCTTACACTATACACATGTTCTTGTTGCATAAAGATTGAGCAATATTTATATATAACTATTAATGCTACGCAAAACGAACTTTATAAATCCATCACAAAAATGTGTCATTATTTACATTAAATATCATCATACAGTAACGCAATTGTACTTTGCTTTGCTTTGACATATACTTAATATTTCCATAATGTCTTAGGATTGATGTAATAAATTTTTCATCTGTAAATCAAGCTTACTGTATCAATGTATATGTACATATATACATATAATATATACAATATTTCTTGCTGGAGGTTTGATACAGAAGTGGTAATAATGAATCAAAATGGGTAAAATGTTCTGATGATAAAAGGTAAAAAATATATAACAGACATTATTTCATTCTTGATATATCATGAGTATTATAGTAGAGTATTAAGTCTTTGTCTTCATTATGTAAAGATATTTATGAAATACCTTTAACTGGTAATTACAAAGATTCCTTCAGCTTTTATTACAAGATTTGAAGAGTTCTTTCCCTTATCAGCATTATAAGATGGGAATGCTTTAGATGGTTTATCCCTAGCGTACAGATTTTAAAATGGCCTATACATTACAGCACAACATATTGAAGGATAATAAAACTTTATCTTAAAACTGAAGTGATGTTAAAACTTAAGTGATATACACATAAGTTTTAAGAGTTTTAAGTTGCTGAAGAAGACATATTAACATGTGATTTTTATTTTCCTTATTTCAGTAACAAAAATTACTGACATCATTACAGATTAAAACTTCAGATTTTATTTTTTCAACAATTTCTTACACTTAACATTTAAAGTGCTGTTTTTTGTTAAGTTTTATATATACATAGTAAATTTCATTAAACACCAAATTAACACCTAAGAAAGAGGTTTTATTTTTCTACAAGAGTATAAACACTGTTCTGACAATTTAAGACAGTTACAATACATGTGTAATATTTGTTATCCCCCTTTGAACAAATGAACAGTCTGTCCAGCTCTAGGACCAGTAAAATGTAAGCCAGAAAAAATGTCCTTAGCTTACAGTTCACTCGATTAAGATCTTTTCATTCTAAGAAATTTTCTTCAGTGTATGAACAGAGTAGAGCCATAGGGTAGGTACACATCCTAGGCTATGACTCATAACCTAGGATGTGTACATATTTTAACATGGCAGAAAAGATTTACAAGTAAATGAATTATAAAATTTCGATTAGATTAATGATTGCTATAAAACAAGAAGTAATGTAATTGAAAACACTGTCAGAAGTATTGTGTACATGTAGCTGTATGTAACAAGAGAAGCATGGCTGCGACTGTCACCTGTTTTTGGACCTTCTACATAGTTTATAGCAGTTGTTGTTTTCTTTAGATTATCTGAAAATGCAAAAATTAGAAATTGCTCAATCAGAATTTCCAAAATGTAAGTCATATTATCTAAACTGAAAAATGAATAAATTAATTCTACTCTTATCTGTGATCAGTCAATATCATCTTTTGTATAAGTTAATATTATTTCTAGTATAAACTTGTTAGTATTTGATAATTAACTGCAGCTCATCTGAAAAATGAAAGTAAAGAGGTAATTGAAATCATCCTTAAGACAACTTTCTCACAAACTTTACTAGTTCTGTTGTTTTATGAAGAGCTATGCTAATAACACAGCTAGATGTTATATCCTCAGAACCCTTCGTGTATCTTTACCATACATATTATATTAAATGGACTTGTCCATTCTTCAGTCTTGACAAAACCATTCAATATTTTAGGGAAATTTCAAAATATGTACTGACTGAATAGTGAACAAAGTAGACCATGATCATATGGCACAGATGTACTGGCTGATCATGGTCTGAACTCGTAGCATGGGAAGATGCGGCCAGCAAGCTTAGAGTTAGTCAGCAAACTAGCTATTGTTCTCCAGAGTTATTTGTTTTGTGTCTACAAGTTATTTTACATGAAAGTTATTCGAGGTAATATGAAAAATGTAGAGGAATAACAATACCTGGCTGTGTTTTTGTGGGCACTGTAGATGTGGCTGTTGTTTTCTCAGGTATAGGCACGGGCTCAGTTGTTAATCTGGCAGTTGTTGGTTTTCTTGTAGTTATTTTAACAGTTGTGGTTGATAATTCCACTGGAATGTTATAGATCAGTAATTTAGATAAATACTGTTGATGTCTCTACCTTTTTTTGTTCTTGATATTACCAATTGATTATGGATATTATTTTTACAGTTATTTTACTATTGATTATGATGACATTAAAGTTTGAGCACCAGTCAAATAACCACACGATTTCTTACTCAAGTTTTATAGCTTCAAAAAGAATAAAATTTACAAGGTTGATAACTGTATGGAACTTTATTGTATTATCTTTGCCAAAACAAGCCAAAAAATAGAAATTCATTTTTTCTTTAAAAAAAATGTTGTTGTTGTTTTTTTTAAAAAGGCTTTAAAGTGGTTTAAGATCGACTTTAAATTACTGTTGCCATTGATAAAATCCTTTAAAATAAAAGGGTATACCTTATAAATCATTACTTAAGATGTGAATGGTGTGGATTATTCTATGCAGCAAAATTTCTTAAAGTAATATAATAAATAATTCAAAATTAACATTGTACATAATTTACATAGATCTGTGTATGGCAAAATAAAGCTTTATTGTTTTATTACTGAAATAAAAAAAAAAGATTTTAGGAAATGATAACAATACCAACCTATCACATTGAATTTGATATAATCTATACCAATAGTATTCCTAGCAAGGCACTGATACTCTCCCCTGTCTAACGTATTAATATCACGTATTGTTAATTCTGTAACTGTTTTAAAGTCACCTTCAGTATATACTTCTATACTATATTTATCCATGTCTGTCTTGAGTAGTTTCCCATTTCGTTGCCAGCCAATATCTGCAGCTGGATTACTTTCTATTTCACACTGTAACACAATTACAGAGGACTCTTTTTCAACAAATTTGTTTTTTGTTGTACTCAACTTGGGTTCATCTGTATAAAAATATGATGAAAATGTGTAAATTAAATATTGATCATGTAAATCAAATTTAAATTTTTCTCTTGCAAAATGTGTGCTGACATCTAGCTTTGTTTTCTATATGGAATTGACTGGATTCTAGAATAAAGCCATCGTCGGATACCCACGGCCGAACTATAAACATTTATCATTGATTGCATGTTATGTGACATGTTTATCAATCGTGGGTATCCGACGATGGAATAAAGCAGGCAACAATATAATGGTATTGTCAGAATGTATGAAAATGCTACTTACAGGTGGCTAAGACAAGCAATTAAAACAAAATTGGTAGTCAGATTGGTAAATGTTTAGCATTTACTATCAATGTATTAAATTGCAGAAATGCTTTTATTCTTTATAAATCTCAGGCAATGTCTTTTCCTTCTTTTGATATGCCCACTTCCAGTTATATAACTTGTAGAGAACTATTTGTGAAGAAGTCGAATTGATTTATTATAACAGTTTCATTGCAGCATTTTCAATTATTGTTCAATTTAAACAGTGGTACATTGATTCTTCAAGTTGTAGTGCTCCCCCCTCGCCTGACCCACCTTTTTATTAGCTCGACTTTTCTATGAAAAGGGGAGCTATCCTACTCGCCCCGGCGTCGGCGTCGGCGTTAGCGTTGGCGTCACACCTTGGTTAAGTTTTTCGTACCACCCCACTTTATTTCAGAAGTATTACAAGTATGGCTTTGAAACTTACCATACTTGTTCACCATCATAACCTCCATCTACAGACAAGAGTACATAACTCTGTCAAGGTTTTTGACAGAATTATGGCCCTTTTTTGACTTAGAAAGTGTATTGAGCTTGGTTAAGTTTTTTGTACCACCTCACTTTATTTCAAAACCATTGGAGGTATTGCTTTGAAACTGACCATACTTGTTTACCATCACGACCTTCATCAACAGACAAGAGGACATAACTCTGTCAAGGTTTTTGACAGAATTATGCCCCTTTTTGACTTAGAAAATACATTGAATATGGGTAAAATCCACTTATTGCCTTAACCCTTTGAGATATTGCTTTGAAACTTTTAATGCTATTTCACATCATTACCCCCATCTGTACGCAAGAGAAGGTAACTCTGTCAAGGATTTGTTTTAAAATTAAGGCCTTTTATCGACTTAGAATCTTGGTTAAGTTTTTAGTACCAGTCCACTTTTTGACTGAACTGTTTGAGATATTAATTTGAAAGTTGGAATACTTGTTTACAATCATGATTCCCAAACATGTCCAGGAGAAGGTAATTCTGTCAAAGATTTTATTTGAATTATGGCCCTTAACTGTCAATGTTTTGTATTATAGGCAAGCACTAAAAAACTCAACTCAGTTTTTTTTTCTTTCTTACCAGCCCTCTTTTGACTTAAACATTTCAAACTTTGCTGCAGTGTTCAAGGGTATCACACAATTCAGTAAAATGATTCTTCACTAAATATCTTAATGCTCATGGCCATTGTTCACTTTAAAAATACAGAGATTCTTGTATTGCCTTTTACTGCAAAAACTTTTTTTATTGGCAAGCAATAAAAAAGTCGAGCGCGCTGTCTTACGGACAGCTCTTGTTCATTGTGACTTAATTACAGCCATCTTAATTTTGATAACCTTTGCAATAAATTGAAAGAAACTCACAGACTTCTTGAAGGAAGATTTCATACATGTCTGTTCCTACAACATTTTCAGCTTCACATCCATATATACCACCATCTGTTGGTCCAAGGTTTTTAAACATTAGCATTTGGGTAGATGAAACAAGTTCTGGAAGTAAAATTTATATTGTACAGTGTACTATTATAGAATATCATTTTGTAGTACTCAGAATTAACAAAAGTGATAAAAATATCTACTTTATGTTTTTTGTTTTTTTTGGTTTTTTTGTTAAGTTTAAATTGTAACAACACAGTATAGGTCATATGGGGACTCTGAACCTTTTACTGGTAGATGAAGACCTCAGGTGCCTTTCGAAGCATTATTTTAGGCACGAATGGGTACCTGAGTAGAGCCATCGACATTCCATTAGCTAGCTGGATAGCTTTCCACATGTCGATCCAAAGACGCTTGCGGGACTTAAACCTACAGAGGTGGTTTGAAGTCAGCGACTTTAACCACTCCGCCACAGACCCTCCTTATCTACTTTATGCAATAGGACAGAGGTCATTGTCAGCTGTCAGAGAAAGTTGTAATACTTTGTAAATATTTTTAAGTATTAAGTAGTGTTTTTACCTTTTATTTCCTTCATTGTAGACAGTTCAGTTCTAAATGCATACCATTTTACAGAAGGCTCTGGATATCCACTCACATTGCATGTTATGTTTAATGCCTCTCCCTTCTTGAATAAATACCTCTCCAGCAGACTATCTTTATCTATTTTAGGCTTAGCTGAAATCATTATAAAGTGATAGTCGTAAAAATTCAACATAATTCTTAATTCAAAGCAGAGGGTGATGTCCAGTGGACATATTAATTTATATACAATTAGCATCTAATTATCTGCAGCTTAAATCTTCTGAAAACAATTAAGAAAATATTATTTTGAAACTTTAGGTTACATACACGTAACAATATCTTTAGATGTAGTCTTGTTACTGAGCAGATGTATTCTTGTTACTGAAGATTACTTCTTTTTGTTTTAAGTTTTGTTCTTAAAACACTACAAAATGCTTTAATAACCATTGGAAAATGATGAAACCTGGTTAGTTTACTGTAATTTTTCAGAATAATGGCTATTTTGTACTTAAATGAGAATTTGTTAGCATCTAGCACATAATTATTGTTCTTCAGCTTTAATCTCTTACTGGAAATAGAAATGTTAGCCCAATATCTGATGTCTCGTTCTTTTATACCATCTTGTTAAAATTTTACTCCCTTAAAAGAATATCTTATTAGTCTTTAATCTGTTCTATTAACAGTGGTGGCCTAGTGGTCAAGCTGTCTTGTCTGTCTCTAAACATAGGGATTGTTGGTTAGTGCCATATTTGGGTCATTGCCAAGTTTACTCATATGCAGCCAACATTGGTCAGTAACAACCAACATTGGTTAATTACAACCAACATTGGTTAATAACAACCAACACTGGTTAATAACAACCAACATTGGTTAATAACAACCAACATTGGTTAATAACAACCAACACTGGTTAATAACAACCAACACTGGTTAATTACAACCAACACTGGTTAATAACAACCAACACTGGTTAATTACAACCAACACTGGTTAATAACAACCAACACTGGTTAATTACAACCAACATTGGTTAATAACAACCAACACTGGTTAATTACAACCAACATTGGTTAATAACAACCAACACTGGTTAATTACAACCAACATTGGTTAATAACAACTAACACTGGTTAATTACAACCAACATTGGTTAATAACAACTAACACTGGTTAATTACAACCAACACTGGTTAATAACAACTAACACTGGTTAATTACAACCAACATTGGTTAATTACAACCAACATTGGTTAATTACAACCAACACTGGTTAATAACAACCAACACTGGTTAATAACAACCAACACTGCTTAATTACAACCAACATTGGTTAATTACAACCAACACTGGTTAATTACAACCAACATTGGTTAATTACAACCAACACTGGTTAATAACAACCAACACTGGTTAATTACAACCAACACTGGTTAATTACAACCAACATTGGTTAATAACAACCAACACTGGTTAATAACAACCAACATTGGTTAATTACAACCAACATTGGTTAATAACAACCAAAACACTGGTTAATTACAACCAACACTGGTTAATTACAACCAACATTGGTTAATAACAACCAAAACACTGGTTAATTACAACCAACACTGGTTAATTACAACCAACATTGGTTAATAACAACCAAAACACTGGTTAATTACAACCAACACTGGTTAATTACAACCAACATTGGTTAATTAAAACCAACATTGGTTTATTCCAAAAAGCAGACGAGTGAGTGGTTTGATATAATGTCTGAGCTAAGTCAGTTTAGTAGGTATTGTTAATCATATCACTTGATGATAGAGATACTGTTAAATAGCATATGGTTACATTTTTATGCTCCAACTTTTAAAGTGGGAGCTACTGCAGTGGTTTATCTCACTTAATTGGAAAGAGGCTTTCGCTGATAATGGAAAATGTGGGGAGTAAAAAAGCTGGTGTATGTTCAAATTTTTGAAAAAAACTGCATGATTTTAAAGAAAATTTCAAGGCCTTTCATAGGCCTCTGTAAAAAAAGGTGAAAAATTATTGTACTGTGATAATGTGATAGGCCATATGTAGGTAAGTCCTTCTGTACATCACCTCCTCCTTGTCAAACCAATAACTAAAAACTAGAAAACATTTTGGCCTACAGTCCAAAGATTTGATGTAGGGTTTGTCATGACTTTGAGGTCAAAAGGGCAAGGTTACCATGGCCTTGACCACTAAAAGCTTGCCTTACCAGTCAATAGAGTCCCAAGATTTGGTTGCAGGTTAGACATGACTACAAGATGATCTCTGTTGATGAATAAAGTTCAAGGTCATGGCAGCCTTGTAATCAGACCAATAACTAGAGAATGCTTTGGCCTACAGTCCTGAGATTTGGTTTGGAGGTTTGTCAGGACTAGAAGATGGCCGTTTCAATTGTCATTGATTTTGAGGTCATCAGGTAAAGGTCACATTCACCCATGAAAAATTTGTCTAATTAAACTTTTATGAAGTAAAGAAGGACTTACTGCAAACAGTCTTGCAGTCAGCCCTGGAAATTATTTAGTCACAGGTTTGTGAAACTTGTTTAAAAGTTACAATACTGTTAATATATATTATATATTAATATAACACTTGTATTCACATATTCTGCTGTAACAGCAAATAAATTTAGAGGGTAAGTGTCCTAGTGTTTTTCAATTTCAGTGTCTGACAAATAAAGACACTTTGTCTGCACTGTTAATGGACTAAATCTTAGGAGAGTCATTATGTACTTATTGTACTTGTTGTATATTCCTAAAGATAAATATTCAATTTTTATATTAAATACTACTTCATCTCATCTTAAAACATAAAATAATTTTGATATTCTAATTTGTTGCATGCTTATTATCATTGTTTTCTCATTTCAATACTTGTGATTTGCTGAAAGTTCTTTTTCATATAAGTTTTTTTATTTTCAATTTATTTTATAAAATTGAAATATATAAAAAGCAAATGCACAAATCTGAATCAGCAGTAACTGTTGTAAGCATCTGGTCCATTCTATAAAATACTGATAAGGTCTACAGGCCAGAAGCCATAGTATGTTTGAAGCATTACTGAACTATATTACACTTCATTTGTTGTCTGATAGTATAGTTTAGCACACAGTATTTTCAGTAGTGTTGCTTTTAATGTAATGCAGTTTTAAGATACAAAATACGATTTTAAGATTAGAAACAGGTAGAAGAAAATCAGATGGGTTTTTTTATTTGTATTTTGTGGTTTATTTATCTGTTGAAATGTTGATATTAATGTGTCATGATAGTAAATACATATTGATTGTAATGTATGTTTGTGAAGGTTTCCCCAGGTTAATTTCAGTGCTAGAATCTCTGGCAATCATGATGAAGCAGGAAGGGTGGTGTGACAGAAGAGATCTTGCTTAGCTTCAGCAAGTACTTTTATGTAAGACTTGATGATTTTTATTCCAATACCAATGTCTGTTACAAGCTCAATGGAATGGCTTTTGTCTTCTTAATAATAGGTACACTGACTGTTAAGACAGCATTTCTCAAAATGTTATTAGCTTGCAAGGATACATTATCAAAAATAAGTAAAATAGTTGGGGAAAAAGAACATGTATAACAAAATCAACATGTTGAAGTATTCAAATATGACCTTGACCTCGGATTGACATTGGTAATCAAATACTTAAATTTAGCATAAATTGTCATAAATTTGTTATTAATTTATAAATTTGATTCATTCTTAAACAATTCAGTTTTTAGCTCAATTTTTGAAGAAATAAAGTAGAAGTATTGTCAAGGCCTGCATTGGTTAACCTAATTTAGGTTTAGTTTTCATCTTTGATCATTAACTGTAATACCCATAAATCCATAACATTGAAAATTCATATACACATTGATGACATCTACCTTTCCCACAGATGTTGAGGTCAAAAGATCAAAGGTCAAGATCACTGTGACCAATAATAGGTAACAGGTTAAGGTCAATTTTCTCAGAAACTGCCAAAGCTATTGACTGAAACTTGATTTTCTTGTTCACTATCATCATGTGATGTAATATCAAAAGGGCAGATAATCCTAAACTTACATTTTGCAAAGTTATTCCCCTTTTATTACTAAGATTTTTTTGCCCTGATTTACCTTTTTTGTAAAGGTTAATTTCTCAAAAACTATCACTTGAAATACTTGTTCACTATAAAAATTGGAATCCATTTACAAAGGCTAGATTGTCTTGAAGGGCATTCTTGCTCAATTATCTCCCATTTTATATTTTCCTAATTTTCTCAAAGACCATCACAGATATTCACTTCGTAACATGAAACACCTATTGGAGATCAAGGCAAAATTTTCTGCCAAACAATTCATCAGAATTATGCCCCTTTTTCTACTTTACTTTCTTACTGAGAAAAGTGGAGCACACTTCAGACAGCTCTTGTTTTGATTGAACTGACAAGCTGAAAAATATTTTTACAATGTCCTTGATCTAGAAATAATCTTGACCATCAAGGTCAAATTATTGTACACATGTATATTGCTTCAATTGCCGTAACTTTGTTATTTCTAGATTTGATTCATTCTTGGACAAAAGAACTGTTTTGACAAAAATGACATGATGACTAGTTAAATGTGACCGTGACCTTAAAATAACATTGACTCTCATTAATAATATTTAGCTTAAATTGTCATAACTTTGATATGAATCAGTATTATAATGGACTGATTTGATTAGACAAAACAACACTAATATGACAACACAAATATGTTGAATAATATAAGTATGACCTTGAACTGTAAATGACCTTGATTGTTAAGATCAAATATAAAATTTGAATTATATTTTGTCCAAGAAATTAATGATTTCTAAGAAAATTCTTTAATATTCTTCCTCCAGTGTGTTTCACTTCAAAAATAAGAAAAAGTCTTATGATTGATATTTACAGAAATATTTTTGTCTTGGCTTTTTCTTTCCAACAGTGTGTTAGATTATCACTATGAAATGAAGCTGTGCACATAGTTTAGTTGTGTTCTGTTCTGATGCAATTTAATTTCAAAGAAATCATGCTGAATTGAGTTCTCTTTTTTCTAAAGTAAAACTTGAAGTTTTTTATGATACAAATATTGCATGTTTGACCTAAGATATTTTGGATAGATTTAACACAATACAATTTCAAAACTGATATAATTTGTACTTACTATTTACATGTACAGTAAACTTTTTTTCCTGTGGTGGAAAACTTTGTAGCATACAAATGTAGAGTTTTGCATCTTCTTCCTGTACATTTTTAATAACAAGATTCCAGTCTCCAGGTTCTTTAGTTTCTACACTTATTCTTTTATCCCCATTTACTATCACATTACCACTGGCTATGATCTGATAATTTTCTTTGAACCAGGACACCTGTAATATTGAACATATTTCCTTGTGGACTTAATGTTATACATTTTCAGTAAAGAAAACTGTATTTTATTAGAAGTTTCAAAATCATATTAATGTTTTAGTACAGATAAAAGATCATCCCTATTACATAATATGTTATAAACAAATGTTATGCTGTCATACAATTTATACATCATTGAAAATTTTATGCGAATGTAAAAATGTTTTATATTAGAAAACATTCAAAGCTTCTAAAGACTTGTGTTAACTGTAAATGTAGGGGTTAACCATATTATTGAAAGTTATTATGGTAAAAGGTGGACATTAAACCATTATTTCCAAGCTGTAATTATAGCATTGTTATGCCACTAGTGGAAATAATTGTCTGTATAATATCTTTCCAGACTATACTAATAAAGTAGGTGCTACATTTCACTGTTCTTATATTGAAACTGAGAGTAGGTGGACCAGGCCGGCAAGTATAATTTACAACTTTGATGGGGGACAACTGTAAGAGTGTATAGTATGTTTGACTTACATCCATGTCTCCTTGGTTCTGTATTTGACATGGTAAAACAGCTGTATTTCCTTCTGTATATATCAATGTGACTGGAGTTTCATCTAATGATGCTGCATTGTCACCTGGTAAAAACTGGCACTGTGTTACCCTCATCACTGAAATATATACCATATTTGCTTTACCATTATTACCATGTTAGTCTTTGATTCTTTTAATATTACCAGTCATTATAATAACCATGCTTAAAGCATCAGGCCAGAACATCCATTTATCTGACTAGGCATTATATACTTCAGGATGCATGTTTTGAAAAACTAAATATTGATATTTCCAAAAGATTATTTCAAAAATATGCAAGTACAAGAGCAAACTGTTTTGTGGCCATCAAAGCTTATAACTAAAGTGTCTGTGAACAGAGTATAAAAAGTTAATGTATACTTCTTGGCACATTAAACATTGTAATTGGGTGTGAGGTGGTATGGTTTCCTGGTATCTCCAGGAAATGTTATTATACCAGACCTTCATGTAATTACATGCAATTGTTTCATTCTATATTATCCGTGAAGGTAGGGGTGTGGCATGTAACAAGAAAACTTACAAGACACTCTACTTGTTAATACCAGTAGAATGATGTAACTTCACTTGATATTTAATACAGTGCTCTAGATATAAGATTAACTTCACTTGAAATTTAATGTATTACTGAAGATATAAAATTATCAATATGAACGTTCAGTTTTAGATATGATGTTTGATTTAGAGCAGAAGTTTAGTTTCTCATAATATTTGAGCATCACTTTTATCATTTATAATGTCTTGCCTCAAAACCAATGATTTTATATTCTTATAAGATCTTACATAATTATTAAATAGCTTTTTATTTTCTCAGATCTGTAAATATATTTACATAAAACAAGACAAATCAGTGTAACATCATAATGATGGGTGTACCACAACTTGCTGAGAACTGTATTAGTGGATGATGTGGTAGAATCAGTACAGGTGCAAGATACAGTAAGATATATCTCTTAACTTTATCAACTTAAAACATGTTCAAGTATCTCAAATTAAAAAGTACTATTAAAATTACAACAGAACTGAATTGATCCTTAAAATAAATTGCCTCAGGGCTTGACACTTGGTTATACATTAAATTTATGATAAAATAATCAAATCTTAAAATGTTTTCTTGTGAGTGAAATTTGATGGTTATGTTTAAAAAGTTGTTAAAACTTTGTACTTCACTCTAATGAGATCACTAAAAAATAAGAATCGGTTAAGTGTTATGAATGTTTTATCTATATAATTATCTCCTTGTTTTGTAGTTTTTTATTCATTTTTTTAGCTTCAAATAAATAAGAAATGTTGAAAAAATAGGTCCTGTTTCAAAATACTAAAAGCTGATCAATTTTTAGCTCACCTGTCACAAAGTGACAGGGTGAGCTTTTGTGATCGCTTTTCGTCCGGCGTCCGTCCGGCGTCTGTCCGTAAACTTTTACTTTAAATGACATCTCCTCATAAACCACTAAGCCAATTTCATCCAAACTTCACAGGAATGTTCCTTTGGTGGTCACCTTTAAAAATTGTTCAAAGAATTTAATTCCATGCAGAACTCTGGTTGCCATGGCAACCGAAAGAAAAAACTTTAAATATCTTCTTTTAAAAAACCCAAAGAGCTAGAGTTTAGATATTAAGCATGAAACATCTTCTAGTGAGTGTCTACAAAGTTTGTTCAAATAAAAGCCCTGGGGTCAAAATTGGCCCCGCCCCGAGGGTCATTGATTTTCCTTATATGCGTATAGCAAAAACTTAAAAAATCTCCTCTGAAAAAACCCAAATAGCTACAGTTTAGAAATTAAGCATGAAGCATCTTCTAGTGTCTACAAAGTTTGTTCAAATAAAAGCCCTGGGGTCATAACTGGCCCCGCCCCAGGGGTGTCATTGTTTTTAACTATATGTGTTCAGTAAAAACTTAAAAAAATCTTCTTTTAAAAAACCCAATGAGCTAGAGCTTAGATGTTAAGCATGAAACATCTTCTTATTGGTGTCTACCAAATTTGTTCAAATAAAAGCCCTTTGGTTAAAATTGGCCCTGCCGAGGGGGGGGGAGAGGTCATTGTTTTTCATTATATGTGTGTAGTAAAAACTTAACATCATGAAACATTTTCTAATGGGTGTCTTCCAAGTTTGTTCAAATAAAAGCCCTGGGGTTTAAACTGGCCCCGTCCGGGGGCCTATATACAGGTGAGCAACCTCATGGCCATCACGGCCCTCTTATTACATTAAGGAAACAATCTGAATACAAATCACCATTAACATCATTCTTTGGGTTTTACAGTTTTATTAATGAAGTTGAAAGATATTTTCAAAAAAGCCATAAAATTATAAGGTGAATGTCCCTTTGAAAAGTACTTAAGAAGCAATGCATTTTTAATTGTTCTATCATATAAGAATGAAAGTATGTTGGTATTATCTCCCCCAAGCTGTCTGGCTTTCAACTTTTATTAAATACTTGTCTCACTTCTTCTGTTGGTATCTTGATTATGAAAGCATCAGTTTGTGTATCAGTGCTGGATGATAAAAACAGACATAAACTCTCCTTGAATGAAGGTTACAGTTAAATAAATAGTTTATGTTAATACCATTAGTTTTTATTCCAGAAGAACATTACTTTAACCCTACCCTCATTAAATACTTTAACAGTGTCCTGATACTTCTGATTACATTTTGATATATAGAAGTCTTCCTGCTGAGAGGAAAGTGCTGAATGCCTTACTTTTTAACATGTTTATTACATCATTGCAGTAATTATGTAACAATTATAATATAACATATAACATGATTCAATTATAAAGAGTTAAAGATCACCAGCAATATAAAAAAGTACAAAAACTAAAACTTAATATTTGTTGATCTACAATATCCTGAGATAATTAGCAGATTATTGTTAGAGTATATGACTGTACCATAGAAAATGTAATATTGCTTGATTGTGCCATAGAGAATGTAACATATTGCCCAATTGTACCATAGAGAATGTAATATATTGCCCAATTGTACCATAGAGAATGTAATATATTGCCTGATTGTACCATAGAGAATGTAATATATTGCCTGATTGTACATGATAGAGAATGTAATATTGCCTGATTGTACCATAGCGAATGTAATATTGCCTGATTATATCAAAGAGAATGTAATATTGCCTGATTGTACCATAGAGATTGTTCTATTGCCTGATTGTACCATAGAGAATGTAATATTGCCTGATTATACCATAGAGAATGTAATATTGCCTGATTGAACCAAAGAGATTGTTCTATTGCCTGATTGTACCATAGAGAATGTAATATTGCCTGATTATACCATAGAGAATGTAATATTGCCTGATTGAACCAAAGAGATTGTTCTATTGCCTGATTGTACCATAGAGTATGTAATATTGCCTGATTATACCATAGAGAATGTAATATTGCCTGATTGAACCAAAGAGATTGTTCTATTGCCTGATTGTACCATAGAGAATGTAATATTGCCTGATTGCACCATAGAGAATGTAATATTACCTGATTGTACCATAGAGAATGTAATATTGCCTGATTGTACCATAGAGAATGTAATATTGCCTGATTATATCAAAGAGAATGTAATATTGCCTGATTGTACCATAGAGATTGTTCTATTGCCTGATTGTACCATAGAGAATGTTATATTGCCTGATTGCAACATAGAGAATGTAATATTACCTGATTGTACCCTAGAGAATGCACTTTTGCCTGATTGTACCATAGAGAATGTAATATTGCTTAATTGTGCCATAGAGAATGTAACATATTGCCAAATTATACTATAGAGAATGCACTTTTGCCTGATTGTACCATAGAGAATGTAATATTGCCTGATTGTACCATAAAGAATGTAATATTACCCGATTGTACCATAGAGAATGTAAATATATTGCCTCTGATGATGAATACTGCAAAATTATAGCTCTTAATCTTTTAACAAAATCTTACAATTTAGCAACTAGCTCAAATTGCCAATTTTTTTTTCTTTCACAGGCCAATTATATTTTAAGAAGTATTAAGGGTTAAGTGGCTAAAATTTTGTTGACTTGATTGACACATATTAAGCTAAAGGAAAGAGGGTTATATTCTTGACATCTCAAACTTTATTTTATTTCCTTTAGAACAGGGTAACTTCTAAGTACTCAAAATGTTTTTCTTTCATTATGTTCTAAGGTTGACTGACATTACAAAAAGCATTGTTTTTGAAAAACAGTTGTCAAAATTGCAAAACCAAATTCATGCTTAAACAAAACCTATTCTTTCATTAATCTGACAGATTTCCTGACAATGTTTAGTCTCTGAGCATTAAACTATGCTATTATTTACTGTAAAGCAGCCAGTCAGACACTTCAGATCTCATGTTTTGACACAGTGGGGGAATTTGTTCCATTTTTGCAGTCAATGAAATGATTGTAGTAGGCGTATTTTTTACACTCATATAAATGTCAAGATAGGTATTTATGTATGTGTGTTATCATCAGGCATAGGAAGGCTGGAGTGATTGATATGCTATAGGAAACCATGACAAACTTTCACAGGCAATGTCTCACTCATTCATGTGATGCTTACATTCATGTTTCTCATGAGCAAAAAATGAAAATTACATAATGTATCAGTTTACATATACACATGTATAAAATTCATTATAAATCAGCTCAAGAAATATCATATACTGGTACAATGGTTCCATCCAGAATTCTTAGTTATATAAAAATATTACAGCGTGCAGACCAAGGATTCAAAATAAAGTTTTTTTCTGATAGAGCCCATCTGTTTATAAAACTTCAAAGTTTATTTAAAATATATAGAATGTTGCAGTGAATATTCAAGAAATATTCCTTTGAAGATTTCAGCAAGATATAGTTTGTTAAAACTCCATGATAAACAATTTAAGCAGTTTTCTTTATAATAAACATGTGTATTTATTTTAAACAAAATAAATTGTTTCACCTTCAAAGTATTTGTTTAACAAAATAGGGTGATGTTAAATCAGGGATTCCTGAGGTTAAAGTCACTAATTATAACATGTTAAATGCTACAACACTAAAATAAACTCATATAAATCTATATACATTATAATAGCCAGCCTACAGCTGGATGATTCAGTGTCTAAAATCT